ACAACTTTTAATTCTTTTGACAAATGTTCCAAGATGTTTTTTCTTTCTCTGCTTACTGTTTGCTGAAGTTATTTACCATTATTTGTGAAATTTGAACAATTTAAACCTAAATAAATGGCCAAAATAAACGACTTATAAAGGAGAGACTGGGCACGAGTAGGTTTACACCCGCTTTCAGTGTTACGGGAATAGTTCGACATGCAATGTAAACGGCTGAAAGGCCGTTAAACTGTGAAGCTGGTAATTTTTCTGGTTATTTGCAGAAGAAATGACAAATGAATAATTACTGACCTCAAGTGGCTGAGGAAGATTGGGGACTTTGCATGTTTCCAGATTTACGGTATAACTTAATGGTCTGCATGTAGTTGATCGGCTCTCAATAGTGACTTCCAGTAGAATTGGGTACTATCGTTCAAAGATGTAAACATGCAAAACATTCAGTTTATCTCTCACGGAATGACTTCTTGATACTCCTAGGCATAGTTTGATGTCAAATAAAACCATCTTTCATTACTATACTGAAGTCAAGTTCGACAATAAAGAAGTCCATTGTGTTTACATTTTTGACATAGGCCAGGTTACATACCATGTTGAAAGATGTCGCCTATGCACATGACACTGAAAGCGGGTGTGTAACATTTTTCTTGAAATCTACCTGAATGACCCCACCTCAGAATTTCAGGATTTGGAAATTGGCTGTGATTAAACATTCATGAAAAGTAAAATCAAAATCTGTAAGACAGATTTTTCGCAAACTGAGAAAATGTGAAATTTTACCTGTTTCAAAAATAGCGCAAAATTTGTCGTAAAGACCAAGTGACCAAGTTATAACTATAATAAGAACTTGGTACACTGATTAATTGATGGTGGGAGGCATGGTGGCCTCATGGTTAGTGCACTTGTCTCCAGATCGAGTGGTTCAGGGTCAAGCCCTGGTCTTGGGCAAGATACTTCACTCTCATAGTGCCTCTCTCCACCCAGGTGTATAAATGGGTACTGGTGAACTTAGTGCTGGGGATAGCCCAGTGATGGATTAGCATCCCATCCAGGGTAGAGTAGAAATACTTCTAGTCACTTCATGCTGCCAAAACCGGGATAAGCTCTGGCCTGATGGGCCAGTTGTCTTGATGCAGACTTCACTTTTCACTGATTATAATATGGGCAACATTTTCCCACAAATTTCCATGCAACGCTTTTGCGTCATAAGTGCAAAAGCCTGTCATGCTTATTACCACCAGAGCTGTACATTAGTTTCAGCTACATGTTGCAGCAAGTGCATTCAAGTTCAACTTTGTGGATGCAGCAAGTTGCTACAAACTGGAACACAAGTAGTAATGTGTACAACAATGCTTTTCAACTTGCAGTGAAACATTGTTGGGTGGCATTAGTTGCAAGAACATGTTTCCTGTTTTACCTCCCCGAATTGAAATACAGAAATAGCCTAAGAGTTGATGTAATGATCACATGTCTGGAGCAAAAAGAAGCTGCATTTTGTTAATCCTTATGAAATGCTCAACTTCCTGTCTTTTTCTCATGTTTCTGATGGATTTCTTGTTCTCCCAAATTTCTACTTTTTTTTCTTTATTATGTATAACTCTGTCATTAGAAACATGGAAAGCATTGTCAGTTTTTTAGTTAACAACTAGTTAAGTGCAAGCATGATTACAGATTACAGCGTTCATGCGATTGACACAAGTAGCTGCAGTGAGACCAGAATTAGGTCCATCTGTGGCATTTTCTTTGGTTTAATTTGTCAGGTCTTCATCTTTTTGTTTGTTTTTTTGGCAAATACTGTGAAATTTACCATGTCATTTTCATATTTCCAATAAACTTGCCAGGTCTGATAAACTGAAACACTTGGATGATACCATAATAAATTTCTTTCTCACTAAAAGAGCAAGTTTATAAAAAAAAATTAAAACAGATCAATAATATTATTATGACTTTTAACCAAATATTATAAGATTTTGAAAGCAGCAAGATTTCTTTATTGAAACAATAGTAAGAGAAATAAACAATTATGACTGATTTGACTCTTAAACTAGTTAAAGATGAACTCAGTGAAAAATTGTACTAATTTACACATACTTGGCAAATAGTGGCTCTATGACTCTTAGGGTTGATTGCCCCAATGCCCAAAAGTAATCCTTTCAAAACTCAAAAATCTGCTTAGTTACCACTAAGCACTTACTCAGCTAGCTTTTATAGCAGCTAAATTAGATGTTAGTTAGTAGACAGGAATTGTCATGACACTCCACAAAGTTTTTTTTTTTGTGTGTGTGTTTTTGTTCCATGATTTAGTCCTGACCATGTACAAAATATAGAATATACTAGCTGTTATCTTGAGTTTCTTTCTGAGAAACAGCAATGTTTCAATTACCTTATTAATTCATGCATATCAGCGCAAAACAAAAGATTGTGCATGGTTGGGGGCCTCCAAACATGGATTTTAGCGTCTTTTATCACATCAACGATCATGTCTTCAAGTTTATGTTAAACAGTTGACTGATATATTAATAGCTGATTAATAGCTGGGGTTGATGTTGATTACAAATTTTTTTTCTTAAGTGTTTTGGTTTCTTCAGTGGCCTTCACATAGCAGAATTCTTACTGATGAAAGGCACTTAAGGGACTGAGGTACATGAAAAACAAACTAAATTACAAAGTGATTTTTGTACTTGGGTAAAAGATACCAGAGTGGTTAATTTTGTTACATGTGTACAGAGTAATGAATGTCTCTTCTTATTAAAACAAATTACACCACGCTTGTATTTTTCAAGGCTTAGTCAATTGGGGTATGCCTTGCTGACTATTTGCTTTAACACAAGGTAACATTACCCAGTGACTGACTGTAGTATTGGCAAATCTGATTCTGCTATTTAACAATTGGACAGAGAGCTGAA